CAATAAGATCAGAAACTTGGAATACTATCTTGGAGACAATTATAATTGATCTTCCTCAGCTCATTTCTCTGAGACCACATGATTTCCTTGTTGGTCTTATCCATGTTCATGGTTTTAACTGTCTCAAAGCTGCAGCCCCAATCCTAACCTCTCCATTAAGTTTCAGGCCTATAATAGTCAACTGTCTGCTAGACATCCCCATCTAGATGTCTCAACTTTAAACTAAACAATCATCCCCTCCCCAATTCTACATCTCCTTTTCGAATTTCCTATTAGATTTAGTGGGACTCCCACACCACGCTGGAAGTGGGGGAGTCTCTACCTCACTTCCCACATCAAACCATTCTGTCAATTTTACTGCCCAAATCTATACCTTCCCTCATTTCCATTGCCACTGCTGCAGTTTAGGCTGTACCATCTCTCATTCAGACTATTTTAAGAACTTTCTCAGCGGCTCCCAACTACAAAGTTACCCTGCCCATTGCAAATGAGGGTGATCATCCATATGAAAATCTATGGCCCTCCCCTGCTTAGAATCTTGCTATGGCTCCCTACTGCCTTCAGATAAAGTTCAGGTTCCTGACCCCTACATCCATCTGGGCTTCAACCTCCCCTGTTTTTTCCAACTCCCTTCTTTTTAGTGCTCAGCCCCTGGATCCTACTAATCTGGGATTCTCTAGGCCTAAATAACTGTTCAACTAAATTGAACAAATATGCAGGGTTTTGGTTTTTAAATAATAGAGTAATACTTGCTCCTGTAAAGCATGTATAAACTATAATTTCAAATTTACTATGAAAATTAAGCCTTTTAAAACACTTTAACATTTTTAAAGAGTAAATAATTATCCCTGAAGAAATTAGAAGGGGAAAAAACTATGGTCCACCACTTTTTGCTTTTTAATCAAGAATTGAGTTATTCTATTTCTATTCTATGTCTTCACTGTGGCAACTGCCATCAGAAGTCTTCCTAAGCAGTGATGGATGGTGTATGAGTCAGGATCTAATCAGGGAAACGGGCACCACCCTGTCATAATTCAGGGATTTGGTCAGGTAGGTGACAGAAGAGCTGAGAAGCCACAGCACTGTGAGAGAGCCACAGGCAGCCTACCTGGCCTAGGTTAGAAGGATGAGGGGACGAGATGCTGCTGCTGGAGCTCAGGGTCACCCACAGGGGTGGAGCCATGGGAGAGATGCAGCAGTTCGCAGAGACACTGCTGACAGGGCACGGAGGTCTCCTGAGCTAATGACAGGCTGAGGGTCTGGGGAGCAGGACCAAGTGCAGGAGTAGAGAGAGCTCCAAAGAGAGAGCTGCAGAGACCTGCAGAGGGTTCCCCTGAGTCTTCAGCTGATTTCTGACCAGAAAATGCGTGTTAAAAAAAACTACCAGAGGCCAGAGAGAGAACCACCTGAAAGGATTAAAGGGAACAGTCTCCAAAGCTTACGAAAATACGCTGCATGAACTGGAAAGACGGAAAGAAATGCCCTGGTTTTTCCCTGTCTCCCTCCCTCTAATCCTCCTCTCATCTGTGCCTCTCTTTAGCTTGGTGGTTCTCACTTGCTTGCACACTGGAATCAACTGGGGAGCTTTAAAAAGTTTGAATGCCTGGGTACAGCCCTAGAGAGGAGAATCTGCGTTAATTGGTTTGGGTGTAGCCTGGGCATTACAGAACTTTAAAAGATCTCCTGGTGAGTCTAATAGTTGAGAACCAATATATTAGCTGAACCCAGGCAGAGAAGACCAGATGCTGGGAAATACCCCCTCCAGAAATCAGTGCCCTTCCATGCAGGGCAAGGGGAGGACCTGAGAGCCTGCAGGTCTAGGATTGGCAAAGATGCACAAAGAGGTGGGTAGAAACAAGGGAGACGATGAGAAGCAAAATAATCATAGACATGATCTTCTCTAAATCCTTCAGTGGCCAGCTTGTCCCAGCTGCACAGTTTCCTCCCTCTTATAATACTTGTTCCTCCGATGACAAGACGTTTATCACACGTCCTCAGCTGAGCTGAAGCCCAGCGTCTTGCTATCTGCTTTGGCTCTTCCTGCAGCACCCCATCAGGAAAGCCTGGTGTTCCTCCTCTGGCTATTGGTATCACGTGTTTCCTTCTTTCCCAAATGGACTGGCTCATTCAGATACTTAGCTATTATTAAGTAGTAATTAATGGCTAATAATAGATAATATATTACCTCCTCTGGATATTTGCATGGCCTTGAGTGTAAGAATTTCAGGGCAAAGTCACAGATTGAGTATATTTTTTGAGTGTTCCTTAAAATGTAAATAAATTTAAATCAAATAATGCAGGTGATGGCCTAACACTGGAAAGCAATGACTTACAAATTTACAAATTATTAATATTTATTGCAATTTGTTTTCTTAATAATTACAATCCTACTCATGGCTGTTAAAACATTCTGCAAGGTGAAGATACTTTAAGATACATTTATATCTTATTAATCTTTACATAAATAAGCCTAAAAACATACTTGCTGTAAATTTCAAAGTCTTGTGATTTCAAATCAAAAGAAATTTACTTTATATTTACTAATATTTAGTGGAAACATTAAGAATTATCCTATTTGCCTGAGAAAGTCATTTTCCAGAGGACAAAATCCAAAGTCCAAAATCAGAAATCATCTACTCTGTGTGTTTGTGTGTTTGGACTAATAGGTTATTTCCTGAAAAACTGGGCCCAAATTGTGAAACTGTTAACATACCAAGTGGTTCAAAACTGGACATGCTATTTTTAAAATTGTTTTCTGGTGTGAATTTTTCTTATTATGACTCTATGTAAAGAATTTGTAAGAATCCAGTTCTGACTACATTAAGATACTTATAATTTTTACGGTAGTGCTGTCTCCTAAAAACAAACTCCCAGTAGAACAGTCACAAAATACTGAAGAAATACACATGTATACATAAAGGCCACAGACAGATCTATCTTTGTGCTCCAACAAGAAATATATAAAGACCAATAGAAAGATAATTTCTTTTCACCAACCATGTAATGTATGATATTCTTCCAAAGGAAATTTAAGCTATCAACACTGCACTTTTAAACCCCACCACCACCTGATTGGGCTCCCCAAATTCTCACCAAAAGAAATATATCCATTCTGAGTTATGTCAACATAATCTCATTTTTGTTATCAGATTCTTTTGAAAGTACTTAAAATAATGAATACATTTTGATGGACAGAATTAAAACTCAAAAGAGGTGAATGATCACATATTGATGGAATTCCAGTAGGCTCTTGGGAGCAACAAGGCGACCACAGGAGCCATCTTTATCTATCACATCATTAAATAAGAAAAGGGAGATGCTTTTTGTACATAAAACCAGAAAATTAAGTGAACTGTAGTTTTTTATATAATGAATAATTACTATTACTTAGGAAAGATAAGCACAGTATAAGATCATGTAATTACCAAAAGCAATAGTAAATCCACTAGGATTTTATCATGAAAATACCGTGTATACCTTTTCTTAGCATGTGAAATGAACCTAACAATTTCTTTGAAAATAGAACCTGAACACATACCATGTACTGAGTCAGTGTTAAACTAATGTTGTTGACCTATTAAATAATGATGTCTAGGAACTTCACTTATTTATAAGACCTAATTGCCTTTTAGGAATAAATGACGATAATTTTAAAGATACTGAGAACTGCGGTGAGATTTGCTCATACACCCAAGCTGAAGAGAAGGGTCTAATTCATCTTGGTCAAGTCACACAGCTCAGATAATGTAAACATGGCCTGGACAGGGTTAAAGGACAGCCCAAGTCCTAATATTACAGGGCTCTTTTTCAGAATGCTCCCACTTAATGTGCCTCAGGCATTCTGTGGGTCCAGGAACCATCCACACAGTGCCTGACTTTGTTTAGTGACAACAAAGGGGTCAAAGATTGAGAAAGAGAAAGAACAGGACACAACCTCCCAAAGCAAAACCAAACTAAACAAGAAAACATATTCATAATTGTTTAAGGAAAAAATTGATTCTAGGTTAAAACTTTACATTAGAAAATATTTTTCTCAGTAGAAAGCAAATAAAAACTAAAGATCAATGTTTCTCAAATCTTACTATTTCTTCTTTTTAATTTCTTATAGAAACAGCAGATTTAAAGATTACCACATACACATAAACACATACTTGCTTTCTTTCAGTTATGACACTTCAAATTTTAGGGACAAACTTTTCTATGAGGCAAGAATGCTTAATCAAGTGTAGCTGGCTCCAGATTTTAGAGCCAAGAATAAAACAAAAAGATCTATAAAGAACAAGATACTGTTCGATCAGCTTCAGGCAAACATTAATGGTGAGAAACATACAACAAGAAACACTAGGCATTTCTTTTGACTAAAAGGATTACATGGGAAATTTTAGGTGGAAGAAAGATTTTTAAGCATCTCATAAATGCAGAGAATCATGTAGCCATCAGAAAAAAATTAAGAACCTCCTCCACGTAATATCATGGATTGGGGATTATGTTGGGTTACATTACAGCCTTATTAAATATAATGGACATCTTCATTGCCATATATTCAAGCTCTATCTATGTCACCAAGTGCCTGAGAATAAACAAAGGCTAAAAAAACATAATCCACTTTATCCACTTAAGCTCTCCTTCCTAAAGGCCTGAGACAGGTGGCCCCTTCAAGGTCCATGGAGTAATGTATTCTTAAAATTGGTGTTCTCACACCTGAAAACATTTACTGTAAGAGTCTCTTGCACACTGCTCAAGTCACCTACAGATCTTTTTCTGAGGGGTGGGAGAGGGGAGGCAGCCATTCTTTGTTTGTTTTGGATAATCCAACTAGTTTCTTGATTTCCTTCCTTTTGTTTCTATTTTAAGGAGGAAGAGCAACAGAAAGCCCCATTCCCACCCCAACCCTACCCCAACACAAATTATAGTATCTCTAAATGTGTTAAAAGGAGGTATAAACTATAGAAAAATAAAGTTCAATTGCTCAGGTGCAGGAATAGTAAACATTTTCTTACCTGATGTGGCCAATCAATTCAATAAGCTTGTGACTAAAGAAATAAGCTGTCAGCTCGGACACATGACTCAGGACTGAACAGACCCCAAAGAGGGTTGTAGTTCCATTCAGGTCTTCCAAATGCCAGTAGAGAAAGGTGAACACGAAGCCATATCCGAAACCCATAAACCAAGCCACGAACAACACTGAGCCGTACTGCACACTGCAGAGCAGTTTGATTAAGTCCCAAAAGTTGAAGGCCTGCGAGTGGCTTGTGGTGGTCGGGGTCTCCTCAGAGGACTCTGTGGAGGTGTTCCTCTCCACCTGAGGGATCTCCACCTCTTTCCCTTTATTATCGTCATTTTTGAAGTGGTTGTAGCGGAACCGGAACTGAGTAGCCACGATCAAGGCCATGGTCATGAGTACTCCGAAGACGATGAAGACGATCTGGTAGTTCCGGTACTCAGGGGGCTTGCACCCCTTTCCATCGATAAGCACATCTACATGGGTGTAGTCAATCCCGATGCCCACGGACAGCATCGCCAGGCCCCAGCCCAAGGAGCCCCACATGCGCTGCAACCCATAGCGGTCTCTGTGTTTTCCCAGATACTGGAGTGTTACTGTGTCTACAATCGTGACAGAAGAGGCACTGAAAAATTCTCCTATGATGACAACTACCAAGATCACCAAGAATATAGCTTCAACTTCTTGTTGATCATACACAAGAGTGACTTGGTCAGAAGGTAAAGATTTGGTGGTCGTGACAATAGCAGTGGTTGTCTCCCTGGTTACATTTCCTGGGCGGGTAGGAGTAGCTGTGCTTGAGCTCAAGGTAAAGTCCATAATCTGGTGAGTAATTCCATGTGTCTGGGGCTGCAGAGTGGGTTCACTGGTCTTGTTTGGAGCTGCTGAAACAATAACAGCATCTGAGACGTTGGGCCCTGTTTCTAACAACGATGGCCAATAGGTAGGAGGCAGGTCCCGTTTCTCACGTATTTTTGGTGATATGGTAAGGAAAGAGGTAACGGAAGAATGCGTTGGCAGGATGGTTAACTGTTCACTTGCATTGGTGGGGCGAGCTGTTGGGGGAATCTTTGGTACACATCTCAAGGTAGCGGGTTTGACAAATCCAATGCCCAGGTTGAATAGAACCCAACATAAAAGAGAAAAGAGCAGGACAATTTTGCCTTTTTTAAAGCGGTCTGCAACTACACCCCAAAAGGGGGCACTGCAGAATTCAATGAAGTATCGAATACCTACCAGCAGTCCACTCTGGCTGGGTGACATTCCCAGCTGTTTATAGTACACAGGCAAAAGCGGGTAGAGAGAGCCATAGGCAGAGTAGAAGAAAAAATAAAAGACCTTGGAAATTAGAAGATCGTTGTTTATTTTAACACAATGTTTCTCTATCCAGTCTATTTCCTCCTCAGGAATAGCAGCTGTTTCTGTGGAGGAGGGTGTTTCATTTGAAGGTGGTTCTGGTTCCCTGGAAACACCATTAAAGGGATCAGCTAGCACATATTTTCTCTTCTGTTCCTCTTCATCATCAGTTAAGATAGCAACTTTATCATCTGCCGCCATGGCTTACCACCACCATCAGAAAGTTTATGACCTTCGGAATTTTGATTGTTGATCTGTAAAGTGAAATTTAAAAGACGGCTTAGTAATGACAATCATAACATGTAAACACAGAACTTCATCTTGCAGGAAACTAAGGAGTTACAAACTGTAGCTAAAATAATAATTGTGAGAGAGGACTCTCATCATTTATCACTTGCAGCCACATAATACTGGTAAAGAAACATAGCTTTTAAAAAATCGAATACTTTTTGTGGCTACTGACTACCAAATTACATCTTCCAATGTCAGGTTTATAGCTAAGATTCATTCCCAATCTTTTCATTGATACCCAGGGAAAATGTGCAAATGATAGGGATTATGTCTAAACCAAATACAGGGAGTTGAAAATAACCACTTTTCACAGTTTCTTGGTTTTACTCTTGAAACAAATCCACTGCATTATGAAGTCTAGAATTCTTTAGGAAAAAAAGGAGCTAAAACCATTCAGTTTCTGAGGAAAAATAGATTACACTTTAACCACAACCACAAATGTAATGAGAAAGAGGGAGCCGACTGCACTTCTGCAACTGGAGTTGGTCACTAGTGCCATGACAAAGACATCCTGGCAAGGAAGTAGTCTTCGAATTGCTAATACTATGTATATTTCTCCAGTTGTGCTTTTATAGATTACGATTTAAGAAAATATCAGAAAAAAGTAGGAGATAACATTTATCGAGCACTTAACTCTGTACCAGATAACATTTAAAGATCTTTACATGTATTGATTCATATCCATCAAAATAGCCTATGATCTTGTCCATTTTACAGATGAGAAAAATGAGGCAATGTAAGTTTAATAAGTGGCAGAACCAGGATTTGAGCCCTGATATTATGGCTTCACGACACATGGTCTAATACACAACACTAAAATGACAAATATCACATTTTGGATAGTAAAATGCCATTAAACCTTTTTAAGAGACAGGGTGTTTCATATAAGAGATTAGCAATATAGCAATGGATAAATTTATAAGAACTGTGCCATATTCCATCAGAATTTCCCTTCTATTAAAGATTAAATTGAATAAAGAGTCAAAAGGTCTTACTTACACCAAGATTTATCATGTCATTGCAATGAACATATTCTGATGGTAGGAGCTGTATACATTAAATACTTGTTAATTCCTTTCACCTTCTCTACCAGAGAAACATATCCACTCCACTTGCCACCCATTTTCCCAAAATGAAGAATAACATTCTGAAAACCTCCCAGAATTATGCTTGTAAACATTTTTATCTCTACAAAGCTAGGCAGCCAGTAGAAACACAACTTAATGAGGCCTATGTAACAAGTCAATTTTATCCCCAAAAGCCAGGTGTCAATTTCATTATAAGCTTTGAAAATGTTCACGTGTTGGTTTTTTTAGGTTAAAAAATTTTTAACTGAGGTAACATTCACATAACACAAAATTAACCATTTTAAAGTGAACAACTCAGTGCCATTTAGTATATTCGCAATGTTGTACAACAACCATTCTATCTAGTTCCCAAATCATGTTTTTCACAATGGTGAAAGGAAAACATTTTTTCTTCAAGAAAACTTGGAAAAGCAATCGTTTCTGCCCTAGTTACGAGAGACTTTCTTCAGTACTCTACACATACTTTCCCTTCATCATTAGCGCCTTCACCTACCCAACTCAGCCATTCCAATTCCAGTTCATCACCTGAGAACAAATAATTCCCCGTGGACTTATTTTCTAAATTCATTTAATTCCTAAGCTCAAAATTTTAAAAATATTCATTTGTGTTTAAAATGTATAGAATTGTATGGCACTTTTGGGTGAAGCGGGCAGATTGAACACATCTAGTTTTAATCCTTCCCTAAACCCCATTAAAATGACAATAAACAAACTCACATACACACACTTATTTTTAAAGTCATAATTCAAACTAGAAAGAGTTAAAGGGCATATAATAGCAATAAATTGACATTCTGGAAGCCAGAAAGTAGTTAAACAATTGGTGAATTATTTCATAGCTCTGAGAAAACTAAAACTTTGGTTGATAATGAGGAAAACCAAGAACTAATACAATTTACTACTCAGAATCCCTCAAAGCCTCACGAGTTGGCCATATTAGGTTTATCTGCAAGTTGTGGGGGAGGGTGCTGCTAAAAGAGAGTTGACTGAAAGTCTAAATCCCAACTTGGAATGTCCAATCCCCTTTTTCACTCCATGTAGCTGGCCAAACAACTACGGGCTTTTCCCTCTCCAAAGGATAAAACAGAGGTTCTTTAGCCATAGAGCACCAGGCCGAGTTGCAAGTAGCAGTGCCATGCTGAAAACAGAACATCAAGCAAACATATACATCTTCGATTCTAAGCCTTGGCACCTTCCCCAGCCCCCATTCCGCTTTCCTCATTCGATTCCCAGAGGTTGGAAAGACTTTCATCTACTGGGCAAGAAACTTGAAGCCTCTTCTCTGGAAAATCTGATTAGCTCAAGAAGAATGGCCTCTAGATGCTAATACTAAAGTCTCCCCAACTAAACAACCCAACCAAATCACTCTATAAAGGAGTTCAGAGTTCTCAAGCCCTTCCACTAAATATAAGTAGTTACCAAGGATTGTAAGACATTTGAGGAAAGTGT